TCTCCTCCTTCTTTCTTCCTTTTTCTTCTTCCTTTCTCTCTCTCTCTCTCTTGCGTCTTTTTAACCCTTGTTGTTTTCTTATAATCAACCGTAACTTTCGAGTATCGGTGCTGATACCCTGAAACCTGTTTGTTGAGCAAAATTATGCGAGAGATTATAGTGGAATCAATAAAGACTTTTATCAGCTCCCAAAGTTTGTCAGCCCATGGGCTATAGGGAATTGTTTAGATCGACTCGATATTTACAAGGATCTATATACTCCTTCGTTACTCGCGATGTATAAGCTAAGAATCTTAATTTTGGGGGTTACAACTTTGTTTAGCAGATATAAGATAGCTTATTAGTGTTCGCGGCTGGGACCTGACTTGTTCATCTTGTACTGTGAAAGAATGCTGCTTCCGGCATGTTCCTGCATTAATACTATCCATTGACAGTGAAGAGGTACATCACCGGGGCAACTCTTTTTAGTAACGTGAGTACACTAGTCGACAAATCATTGTACCTGATTTTCAACATTTACTCGTGTGACGTAGCAAGGCTGGCGGATTCCAAATCAGAATAAAATTCGTGACAATGCCTCGGAATGTACGGAGTTACAGTCATTTGTGATTATAGTTGAGCATAACACTAGATCCCGAATACAGCAGCTCCAGCTATTATGCTCTTTTCATTGCCATGTATGCGGGAATTTGCTTTCTGCTATTCCGCAGTAGCAGGGCTGTCATTGCACACACACACAACGTAAACGAAAACATTTCGTTAGTCTCCATTAAAGTCCCCGTCCGAGGATAAGCGCAAATAGATTCGGTTGGAAGACTTCCGATCAATTGACTTCTCCGTAGCTCCATCGATGACGCGGGCTCGGCGGGCCTAGGACGACTAGAGGAGGCTTCTCGAAGGCGCCTATTTGAATTGGTGCTTTTCTCCGAGGCGGCCAAGATCAAGGCTTTAAGCCATCCCGAGTGCGGCCCCACGCCGAGTGCCGCGGCCTTGGTTTGTTCTTAGCGAAAATGAGAAAGTCTACATGCTCGAGGTAACAAGGAGCGAATACGCAATAAACTCGATCTTTCGATGGGTGATCATGCCAAAAATCTAATGTCTGATTGCTTTGTTTCGAGGCAATGATTCGAGGGCGAAGAAATCGGTTCGTCAGCGTCAACCCACCTCTAGAAAAGACCACATTTTCTCCTCATTCCCCGGATCGCGTGTCGAGTCCAAAAGATAAAAAACGGTCCGAATAACTCCAGAGAAACCTTTCCTTTGGCCCAACCACGCTGGAGATAGGAACGGGCCACCGGGGTCGACATTTTCCCCGTCCTGGAGACCGCACACTAAAAACCATCCCCAGCTGGAGCTTGATGAGGGCGGTGGAGTTTTTTGGGACACGCACGACGGACGGAGCGCAGTGACGTAGTTTTGAGGCTCCAAAGCCCAATGACGCTGGATCCTTTTGTCCCAGATCAGCACCAATAGTATTGATACACACCGAGACACATCCCAGATTCATACATCTGGAGACGCACAATTCTGCCCCGGCACCACCGGAATTTGCACCAACAACGGAAAGGATGGCTGTCACTTCTTACACTACAGTATCCATTTCCAATAATGCATCTCATGAACGCGTCCTCAAACTCTGCTGTCCTCTGCCCGCGATCTCCAAGGCACTAACCGCGAAAGTTTTCTCCAGGCTTACAAACTGCCGGGCTGATTGGTGCGCTCACCTTTTGGCTGCCAAGCAGACTCAATCATGGCTCCATTTCCCCCAGTGACCATGGGACCTGTCTTGGAAAAAAGAAATTCATGATGACGACAGAACCGTTGACGCGGTTATGCTTACTTTAATAAAGATAAACGGTCGCCATCCTGTCTCTCGATTTCATGTCAATCTGTAGATTTTATAGATGAGGGACTTTGCTAGTTTACTGGCCGATACCACTGAGTCCTATCCTTCTAATAAACACGGCCCTCTAGCCCTCTGTCAGTCAACTTTGTTCTATTCATCCACACCATAGTAGCCTCTTTGTTCATCTCACGCTCTGATAGCCACGAGCAAACATCGCCCATCATGTTGGGAATGAGCACCCATGTCACGTTCGATGAACATGATCCAAACGAGTCGAGAAAGGGAGCCGAACATGTAGATGGTCCTCCATCAGCACTGGACTACTCGCCACTCCCGCGGTTGACTGCACGATCACTATGTATGGGCGCTCTGGTCTCTATGGGAGGACTGATATTCGGGTACGTGTCTTGTATTTTGGTCGTCAATTTACTTATTACTGAATCATCGCCATTGTAGTTATGACACCGGTCAGATTTCTGGTTTTCTGGAAATGCCCGACTTTCTGGAACGCTTTGGTCAGCGACAGGGAGATGAATACACCTTTAGTAACGTTCGATCCGGTCTCATTGTCGGCCTGCTATCCATTGGCACACTGGTGGGCGCTCTCGTGGCTGCCCCCATTGCTGATCGGATTGGCCGTCGCATTTCCATATGCCTCTGGTGTATCGTCGTCTCGGTTGGCTTTGTCATTCAGGTCGCTGCCGTAACCGCTTGGGAACAGATCATGATTGGGAGACTGGTGGCCGGCTTTGGTGTCGGTGCCCTGAGTCTGTTGGTCCCCATGTATCAGTCCGAGACGGCGCCTCCGTGGATTCGTGGTGCTCTGGTCTGCGCGTATCAATTATTCATTACTCTCGGCATCTTCTTGGCTGCCTGCTTCAACTATGGCACCTACACCCACCAAACACATAGCTCGGCCTCATGGCGCATCGTTATTGGTCTCGGTTGGATCTGGACTCTTATCCTTGGCATTGGCATGCTGGCTTTCAGCGAAACTCCCAGATTTGACTACCGCCGTGGTAGAATCGAAGAGGCCAAGAAGACATTGATGAAGGTATACGGTGCTCCTGCCAACCATTATGCTATCCATGTGCAAATGGAGGAAATTGGCAACAAACTCCGCGCCGAAACTCAGATCCAAGGAGGCGTTGTTAAAAACACGATTGAAATGTTCCGGGCACCTCGTATGGCTTACCGTATAGCCATTGGAATGTTGTTGCAGATGTTCCAGCAGCTTACTGGCGCCAACTATTTCTTTTACTATGGCACGGTGAGATTGATTCCCTTAAGACCAATTTTCCCTCTGAACATCGATTTCTCCCTCTTTTGGGATCGATTCCCCCTATTTAAGCTCGAATTCCCCTCTTGAGATACCAACAAGTACTAATATAGTCTAGACTATCTTCAAATCCGTATCAATCAGCTCCTTTGTCACCCAGATAATTCTGAACGCAATCAACTTTTGCCTTACATTCATTGGTCTCTACTTGATTGAACACTACGGCAGGCGCAAGTCGTTGATTATTGGTAGCATCTGGATGTTCATCTGCTTCATGATCTTTGCCTCGGTAGGGCACTTCCTGCTCGACCTGGATGACCCAACCCAAACCCCCACGGCCGGTATCGTTCTCATCGTCTTTGCCTGCCTTTTCATTCTAGGATTTTCAACCACATGGGGCCCGCAAGTGTGGTCGTTGGTTGCTGAGATCTATCCGTCGCGGTACCGAGCAAAGGCCATGGCCTTGGCCACCGCCAGCAACTGGATTTGGAATTTTTTGATTGCCTTTTTTACACCATTTATTACGTCTGCCATTGACTTTCGCTACGGCTACGTGTTTGCTGGCTGTAATGTTTTGGGCGGACTGTTGGTTTACTTTTTCGTTCTCGAAACCCAAGGTCGAACCTGTAAGTGTCCCCTTCGAAATATTCTGCAATGCGCCGATTACTCTCATGATCGCGGAGCAGACCTGTATTTCTCTTTATTCATGGTCACTAACACTTAAATTCTAGTGGAGGAAATCGATACAATGTATGTTGAGCACGTCAACCCTCGCAAATCCTCGAAATGGGTTGCGCCTCCACCAGAGGAGATGGATAAGATTAGAAAGGAGGCCGGCACCGAAGTATCTACCCCACCAGCGGGTAGTACTCATGGAGGAGTGCTTGAGAGCAGGTAAATGTAAATAAGTTGCCAAGTTCTTGTATCACATAGACTCGACTGATGTCGGACATGGTGGTATATACTAGCAAAGAAGCAGAACAAAATGAAGAAAGTATCTATCCAAAGCCATTATGAAGACTTGTGACAATCACGACACCGTGGCCATCACCACAAATGTGGCATTAAAGTACTTTGAGTGTGTGTGGCGGTCTTCTTCTGACTTTACCATGTCACTCCGAGTATTGTGGGTTGTGAATGGCGTCAGCAAGGCATATACAACCATCGCCCGACAATCTGCTTATCTCGATCTCTTTTTACAAATGTCTTGAGGAAACACTTCGTATCTTTTCAATGTTATAGTCCCTTTTCCAACAGACAAAGTTGCTGTCTGGAGGCGATCGGGCAAAATGAAAAATTTAAATGCCATCACAGCCACCATCGCGCGGCTAGCATCCGCAGACGACTTGTGCGTAGCAAGCTATGTTGAACCGGAGTAAGAGTTTCATTCAATCATTTGAACAATGGCGGCTACTGGGTGGCCGAGACGGCTTTTACATCCGACTGTGGCCTTGCCCCTGGCTGCCTGGCCCTGGTATGAACTTGTACAAGTCCCATACAGCCTGAATGAGGCAGGCATATGTATGCACCATGGAATCATGTGTACTAAATCATTCACTCGACGTCCATTTCTCATTTTCAAGTCATATTACAGGACTAGTTGACCAGCGAGCACCACCGACCCTGCCAAATGCTGGCTCTATTCCATCAATGGCCGCGCAAACACTGGCAGGGCTAATGGCTTAGCCAATCTCTTCACCGCACACAACATCCAGCTCATGGGCGACTCACTCTGCTACAGAGATTGCAGCAAGCCTTCGAGTCTGAGTGACGGGAATCTTGCCATTTCCTGCAAGTTCGTCGTACAAGACAAACTTGGGGATCTGGGTTGACTTGCCAGAGCCAGTCTTACTCACAACGATCATGACCTCTTCGTTTTGGTAAAGGTCCAGGAACTTCTGTCGTTGAGCGGCAACGACAAGCCGACGACTTTCCTGTAGGATTTGTTGATACTCCAACGAGAAGGCTTTGTTGTTGAATGGATTCATTTGGGAATCCTCTTTTGAAAGCGCTCAAGCTGCCGTGGCTGCATTCTTTTCCACCTTTGCCGCGGCGGACCTGTTCGGTGCTTGACCCCACTATGATTATCGCAAGGTCAGCGTTTGCTTGTCATTTAGGGTTCTGGGACACATTGTCGAGAGCCGCACAGGCACATGCCGGATGAAAATCAGGAAGACTTACTCTGCCCTGGGGAGCGGGATTTGGAGTTGCTTGGGGCGCAGTGCCCGGGTTCGACTGGGTGATTGCGGTGCTTGGCCTGGTAGGGGGTCGACCCCACTGTGAAGACAATGCGAGATCAGTGTCTGGCCATGTTCTGTATTGCTGAGAAGAGTGGTGAGAGGACTTACGGCTTGGAGGCGCCAGCACTGGACGCACTCGGCTTGTTGGGAGGACCGCTCGACATCTTGCTGATCTTGTGTGAATACTGATTGAGAATGTCTGGTGTTCGGGGAGGTTTTTGGAAATTGAAGATCCGTGCAGAGGTGAAAGTTCCTGACGTTTGTGGAAAGTTCTGGGAAATGGAAGATGGAATGAGAATTAAGGGCGGGAAGGGGGGGGGGGCTTGCATCCGTCACTCGGCCATTCCTTATATGCGACTACGGCAAATATTCAAGTCGCGCTCGCTTTTTTTGCTTTCCAAACCACGAAACAATTACTTGCGCAACTACTTCACCACCGCGACGTAAAGATTCTTGGGCTCGATGCTGGACACAATCATATCAAGAAACAGGCAAAGCAGGTCGACATACAGACTCATCAGCCCAATTCTGAGTGTGAAAATGACCAACAGGCCGGGGACGACGTGGCCAAGATGATGGCAAAGATGAAGATGATGCAGATGAATATTTGCAAGACGTCCTGGACGGTGTTGGTCTCACCACTGAAGAGAAAGAGGCTGTGACAAATATTTGCAAGACGTCCTGGACGGTGTTGGTCTCACCACTGAAGAGAAAGAGGCTGTGACAAATGCCTGCCCAAGTACATTGGACGGTGATGACGATTCAGGGGTATATGTCAACGACCAGGAGGTGGAAGAAGAAGAAGATGACGAAGAGGAAGAAGAAAGCATTGATGCAGAACTCTCCGACCACAATGTCATCCCAAGCGTCTACATCAAAGCCCAAGACCCCTTCCAGGAGAGGTCTATCCACGGGGAAGACGACGCCCGACAATACCGGGACTCATTTCGGAATGAGCTAAGATCCATCATTGATGAGTACAGGAAGGTACTCCGTATACCATTCCACGACTTTTGCGCCATAGATCGCGAAGACCGGACAATGTGCCCAGATGTATACCAACTGCTACAAATCAGCGGTGCTGATTGGTTGGTCAATTTTCTAATGGACGCGATCCCTCTGCCTGTCCAAGAACTTCTCGGCAACTCGGAAACGAGCATGGATGAATTTCTGGCACATCTCCCGCGATTCCCGGCCTTTGAGCAACGTATTAGCTGCTACGTTGACCTGGCTCAGCATCAGAGAACAGGAGAAGTTCGGCGGTACGTTGGCTCTGCAACAGAGAAGATAGGCGGCTGGTCGCGCATGCAACAGTATCTCAAGCAATCCGGACAGAGCTTGGAAGAATGCCGGGAAACCGGGGAGCACCAAAAATGGATCTGCAACGAAGACGTGGAGCCCAACCTCTTTGTGCTGGCACTGTTTGACAACGATGCACGGCACAAACCATTTACGCTTCTTCTGGAGGGCATCTTCATGATCATGTTCGGATCTCTGCGCAAAAGAACAGGCAGATGGTACACCCAGCCTGCCAGGGACCTGGTTGAGCGCATATCTCTCCCGCGCAGTGCTTTCGACTTTTTTCTCTTTCTCTTTTCGCTCTCCTTTTCTTTCTCTCTTTTTCCCCCTCTCTTTTTCTTTTTTCTTCTTCTCTTTCTCTCTCTCTCTTATTTTAATTTTCTTCTTTTTCTTTTTTTCCCTCTATCTTTTCTCTTCTTTATTTTTTTTTTTATCAATTATGAATACGGTGATTTTAGCTATTCCACGTGCAATTTGGGATTTTTATAATAATTAAACCTCCGGCCGTCCGTAATCCCCGGAAAACAAGATTATATCGCCCAGCTCTCCTACGCATGGGCTATACGCATTTATTTAAATGGCGAGCTTGTGAGTATTATACCTAGCTTTCGCCACTAACAAAGAGCAAAATCAAAGAAGGTACCTGGCTTTCGCCGCACAAACATCTCGTCTTGCCTTCGAAAACCTGTCTGCGGTCGAAAATTTCCCCACACCAGTGCCTCAAACCGAATCTTTACAGCGTCACTTTTGACTTGGAGCTCGTGACAGTCGATGGCTCAAGTAAAGACTTTCGGGCCGCGGTAAGACGCGCCTGGATCTCAGGCTGCTTGGTCCTGCCATTCCACTTCTTGGTTGCCCGCTCAGGTGACATGAATGGTTCGTTCTGATCTCAAAGCTAGTATCTCATCAATGATGGGAGATGAGTGGGCAATTCAACTTACACAAAACCATTCCGGCTCAACAACAGTCACAGTAGTGAACATCTCCTTGCCACCAGAGCTTTCGAAGTTGTTGTATACAATCCACTCGTAAGCTGGAAAGGAACTTCCACTTCTCACAAAGTTGAGCCCCGACACGTCAAAGCCTTGCTACATCACGGCACTGTCGGCATTGATGAGGCCCGAATGGTTATAGTTCACCGTGATGTGAGTATCGGTGCCTTTCTTAAGCACGGCAGATTGTGTCGCAAGGCCAACGGCCAGTGCCTTGCGAATTGTTAGCTCGTAGTTGGGGTCACGAACGTCGCTAACACCCAAGCGATTCGGCCATCGCATGTTGACCTTTTGGCGAAGGCGCGATTGCATGGACCAGAGATGGTCCAAACTGCTCTGAGACAGGAAATGGTCATGACACCATTGGGCAGGATCCATCTCCTCCTCCTTGATTATGTGAGCGTAAGCATACGCTACATTCATCATTGTAATGTGATCGGAGAAGGGATGTGCGAACTGTGACCGGCCGATCAAAGTGGCAGCATCCGTGACGTCCAGAGGATGCTGCGAGAGAGGATGCGGCAACTGTGATGCTGCAGCAATCACCGTCATCGCCTCCAAGCACCCTAGCTTCCCTGCAGCCTCCAGGAGTCTGCAGTTGATAGGCTCGAGGGGAATTTGAGCCGCCATCGTCCCACTGGCCGTTGGCGAAAAGCAGCGATTCACTACTTGGCCATTATTGTCGACCTTGTCCGAACCGTGAATGAATCCGCTATAAAAGGCAGGAAATGATTAGCTGGGATCTGTTTTGCAAAATGAGTTCCGATATGGCCAAAAGTACTTACAGGTCAACAAGCTCCTGGATGGCACTGCCAACACTCTCTGGGTTCGAAATTTCCAGATAGAGAAAAGAATGAGGAATCTTATATAAAAGAAAAAGAGAAAAAGAGAAAAGAGAAAAAGAGAA